ATATAAATGGAAAAAGTTTGTATAAAGATGCAATCTTAAAATGTAGAACTACGGATGTGCTTCAAAAATCCATCGGAAAATGTAGTTTTAATGTTGAAAAACCCTTTGATTGATCATCTCGACGTCGAGATGTATGACCATGAAAAATAAAAAGATTTTAAGTGTCAGAAATAGCGCATTTTACAATATATTATCGACACCGTCTATTTTCAAGATTTACATATGTTTATAGATTTACTTGATTTTAACTATTTTTTGAATTTAAAATTTTATAATTAGATATAAAAATATATTTTGAGATAATCCTAAAAACATTTTACATCAAAATTATATATCATGATAAAATTTGAAGGTGCACCTTGCCTCTTCGGCTACGGATGCATCCGTATGCCAACTGCACCCATATATAAGTATGGGGTAATCCAATTTTCCAGCCCCATAGACGGGGAAATTCAGTCTTGGGTATTGAATTAATAAAGAAAATGTAAAAGAAAAAAAAAAAAGATATTTACAATATCGAACCTAGGGTAAAAGTAAAACGAAAAATCACGAAAGCATAATGCCTAGGCATCGAATTTAAGGAATCTAATAACATGTGGTATTTGGTCCATACATACAATTTTCCTTTTCTTTCTTTCAGTTAGTTAAAGCAGTAGGAATCAAACTTAAGCTATAGCATTGCTAAGGTCAACTGCTAATCTAATCTAATAGTAGACGATAGTTTTTTTTGAGGGAGATTTTAAAAGAAATGAATAATTTAGCATCACACCTATATCAATTGATTTAATTTCAAAATACTCACAAAAAATATGTATTAAATTGGAATAGTGACAAATATGAAGAATAATAAATAATTCATCCGTCATAGTTAGATTGATAATTTTCCCTTTCATTAGCAATAGAGAAGAGAGGACAATTTCACAGTTAGTATTACAAATCCAGTTAATAACAATATAAATAACCGATGGAGATAATAAAAGGAGAAACAAATAATCGTTTAAAATTAATTTAAACCTTCAAAGAATGGCTCGCTCACAAGCGTAGGAACGATGGCTCTCAATTCTCTTCAACTCATCTGCTCTTCTTCGTTTCCTGTAACCATAATCTCCTCTCTCTCTATCTCTCGCACACACACCACACCACACATTTTTCGATTTTCGTTACTGATGAATATCAGTTTCATGTTTCGTCGCAGAGGATTGAACTCAAAGGGGAATGCCCTCGGCTTTTCAACTGCTTCTCCAGGTCCCAGGTACTCTCTATCTCCCTCTCTCGGGCGCGGGGAAACATTTATTTGTTTCAATTCATGAATACACAGATATTGAGCGTTCAAAATGGAAGCCTCTCTCGGGCGCGGGGGAGACATTTATTTGTTTCAATTCATGAATACACAGACATTGAGGGTTCAAAATGAAAGCGGTGGCGAAGTACCTGGTCAGAATGGCAGTGGAAGAAGGATTTGGCGACGCAGAAAACTGGTATTTATAATTTTCTGATTCTAAAATAGAGTATGAAATTTTGAGTTTGACCCATCATTATATTTCTGCAATTTTTTTTCTCTCAGCTATGATTAATATAAGGATTGATTTCATTTATTTTTAATTGGGTTTCTCTTTTTGTCTGTAAGCACCTATACAGATAATCATATGTCATATCCTCTTGTTATATCTCATCTATTTTCTTCTTCCCTGTGGCTCAGAATACTAGAAATTTGGATTTCACAGGTAATTATATTTGCATTTTCGAGAGAATTCGGCTTCTTTGGTTTGGTGTTTATTCCATTCCTAGTTATTTAACGAAAAGTGGCTATGGAAACTTGTGGGAAAGCACTCAGGGCAAACTCAACAAGTACCCACTTTCAAATCCATTATTGTGTATTTCATCTGCCTACGTGATGGATAGTATAGAAAATAGGGAATCAGTGTTTTCTTTTGGGGTTTGTAGTGATCCTATAAGTTGTTTACTATATGTTTATTCTATTTGATCTCTATGGGGATATTCCCTGGGTTATCGATTAATAAGGCAATAAGCACACTAGCATGAAACTTCCTTCCACTTTGTTAGCTGCTTCATGGTAAACTGACTTGCATGACCCCCATCTGAATAACATTAAGAGAAGAGAATCACCTAGACCAATTGGAGGACTCGAGAAGATTGGAAGATTAACCTAAGATTCTTAAAGAGGGCTCTTGTTTCTACCTCAATAGAGTGACAGGTGCATGCCAGCAGAACAGTAAGCTCTGTACTTTGGCAATCTCAAAGTAATCCTCCCACTCATATGGTATGCCCCTGATGGAATTGCCTCCAAAGTTGGGTTCGAGAGAGCCTTTTGGAATCTTGTTTCTTAGGAATCTGGAACTAGAATTTGGAACTTTAGTGCTTGCCGCCATTCACTCTCATGTAGGATCATCTGCTCTTACCGTGTTGAAGTCCCTTCACTATAGCTAGGGTTGCCCAAAATCTGTGATACATTTTTTTTTCACTAAGATGACATGGACACCCATCAAAAAATACATTGCTTCTTCAAGTTACTTCATAGACGTAGATATTTGAATCATTGTTTTATACGATGTATTTTCATTTAATAGGCTTGTTTGATCCATATCTTACTTTGCAAGCTTATAGTCATAATATTCTACAATGTCGCAAATTATAATGCATCCTCATATAAATATGCTCTTAGATATACACAGTCCATAAGCAATGGGCTGCTAGGATTTTAGATTCTATAGGGTATAGACTTTTTTTCTTTTTCTTTTTTTTTTACTTTTTTATTATTGATGGTGTTAGATATGCAGTTTGTCTCTACTCTTCTTCCCTACCTCCAAAAATTCTTGTTCAGTTGGTTCTAAACCTTATGCACTTGGTTCTGAAACCTTACTCCCTCTCTCCCCTAGGGAGAGGGAGGCAACCCAACTTCCTTACACCTTCTTATTCTTAAGCTCTGATGCATCTTGGAAACCCTATGCTTCGGCAACCTGTCCTTACGCCAAACCCCCAATTTGCCTCCTCCCCACTCCTCCAACCTTTATCAAAACTAAGTCCACTTGCCAAAGCTGACAAAGAAAGCTTCCCCAGGTGGACAGATTACGACCACTGCCAAGACACCAGCTATCCTAACCCCTCACCCCTACATTGTCTCTACCCTCATCCCTCTCCCAAACCCCTAAAACTCCTCTGAAACCTTTTTCAGCAAATACCTTAAAGCTTGATGAAGGTTTTATTTTGGAAAAAATAGTCTCTTCCGTGTTCCAAAAAACGCCGAGTGGTGCCTAGGTGACCCAATAGAATAAAAAGCATGAGATATCTAATTGTCTAATTGTTTTAGGGTCAAATTTTGTGTAAAAAAATTTAAAAATACATATTGAGACATATAACACATTAATAATACATAATATATAATCCATCCATAGTCTATTAGTTCATAATTCCATTCATTTCAAATTCAAAAATCAAAGTTCAAACTTCAAACCTTTAGACCATAATCCATAGTGCATAGCATAATCCAAATTCCATGCACTCCAAAGTTCATACACACAGTAAAAAAGGAAAATATTATAAAAAACCCTTCAACAGTCCTAAAAATAGTCCAAAACTAAATCCAATCTCAATGGGTGTTGTTTGGATCGATTTTTCATAACTTTGAGAAACCCTTCGATCCTATGAAAATCACAATACAAATATTTTGAGGCTTTTATCTCTCTAAAAATGGTTCAAATGGGGTTTAGGTTGGATATGAACCTAAACCCCTTCATTTACATACTTAACTTTAGAAAAAAACCAAAATTGCCCTCAACAATTGGCGTTTTCACCCCTAGGTGGCCACCCAGGGACATGCCGCTCAGTTTGCCCGCCTAGGCCTGGGCAATGCGCCCATGCCACTGTTTTTTGAAACACCAAGTCTCCTTGTGCAAGGTGCTCATTGGAACATTTCAATGACATAGGGATGATTTAAGGGGAATCGAAAAATGGGGACAAGTGGTACGGAGAGAGCCAGATATGACATGCCAGAAAATTTCAAGAGGAAACTTCATTTTCTCCTTCCCCTCTAAAACCCAAGCTCTACAGGCCCTGCAAAGCATAAACTTGAGGTTTAAAAGAGCTTCCCTCACTACTTCTACTTGCTCAAAAGTGGGGGGTTGTGCAACCTTCCAAAGTTTAGATCTGTGCTTCTAACATCCCTCTCCACGTTTGGCACCTAGAGACTTTCAAAAAGATTGGGAACCTGTGTGTGGACTTCCTTACTGTAAAACGTAACTCCATTGAGTACCTCCCCCTTGGGTCCATCCATCCACTGATTCAAACACTTGATCCTAGCCTCATCCCTCACAATATTTGGCTCTCCATTGGGGCTGAGACTTACCATGTTGCCATTTCCTGGGCCTTGGCATCCTCTCCCATGGGGTCTCCATGGTCACCTCCAGCCTTCGAAAGCACAACGGTGGATGATTGTGACCCAAAGAAGAAATCAAAGGAGGCGTCATCACCCTCATCCCAAGATCATTGGTCTCCTAAAAAAGGATAGCATCACCCATCATCAACTCATCAGTCGCCCCCGCTTCGTAGGGCAAACCAATGGCTACCTGGTGAGGTGGCCCCTGGTGATACAAATTACAATTCCGCTCCTCAGCATTCCCCCTCATTCTCTATCCTCGCCTGTCAATGTGACCCTTCACATGCCACCCTGCCCCCTTACACTTGTGCTGGGACAACTGCTAGCTAGAGATTCAAATCATGCCGAACACTTGGCCCCAAGGGAGTCCTGGTCCCAAGTGCCTCTTTCCAACCCGTCATCTATAAGCCCTCAAAGTTCTACCTTGTGCCTCAAACTCCACCCTGGCTCATCCTTGAGCCCCGGACGCCAATCTGACCTTGATGACCCTGCACCCGACCCCCATGTATGGTTTTCGAGGTCCTACCCTTCTAACCAGCCTAAGGAGTCACATCCTCTTGCTCTTCCCCCTGGTAACCCACTATTTGTATAACCAGATGGCAGCTGGTGCTTCTGGCTCCCATGTGATAGGGCAGGTTGAATGTTCATTTAAGCTCCCCTCTAGAGGAGATCTTGTGTACTGCTCACCCCCCTCTATCAATCCACTTTCTATCTTCGGCTCCTCTTTCAAGGGATATTGTCAAACAAGCCTAGCACCCATTGTGCTGGTTGCACCCCAACCCTATCTAACCCCACAATAGACCCAAATTCCCTAGCCTCTCACTTTACAGTGCCTCCTCATCCTTGTGTATCTCTACCCTGCTATGATCCACAGTCCACACTGATGCAGCACAAAATACTGCTCTCGAGTATCTAGATAAGTGAGAGAAGCTTAAAGTCTCCAAGAGGAACCACATAAGGGCAAATTAGTTATTGAGTCTACCATTTTATGCCTTTTATTTATTTATTGAGTCTTTTTATTTACTAAGGGGCGTAAGTAGTAATTTCTAGAGCCTTTTATGTCTTTTTATTCACTTAACTTCTTTTATAATAAAGGGCCATGATTAGATTAGATGGATGGCCAAGATTAAATCTTGTTGAGGATTCTCTTATATAAGGGTTGATTATGTTATGTATTTTATTCAAAACCCTCGAGCAGCAAGTGCTCCTTTTATCTCTGGTTTTTTTAGTATCTGTCTCTAATTTTTGATCTTCTCTATCTTCTTTGTAAACCCTAGCTCCAAGCTACTAGTTCTGCGCCTGGTTAGTATTAGAGCCTGACGATCAATAATGATGGTACTGTAGCACGGTACAGTATCACATTGCTGTAGCATGGTATTGTATCACATTACTATAGCATCGATTTTTGTGCCCTAGATCACAATCATGCCTCCACGTAGAGGAAAAGGAGGAAAAGCAATAACCATGAAGTCTTTGATGTTGTTCGCGAGAAGTGATTGCTGATCTAAGCAGATTGGTCGAAATTCTAGCTTTGCGTTTGGCGCAAATGGAAGCCCCTTCTCAGGAGGACGAGATCAGATGTGGAATCTATAAATCCCTTCCATGATCAAGCTCCAAGGAGAGAGGTAGCGCATCATACGAGCAGGGATAGTAGGAGATGGGAAATTGGTCTCAAGGTTGAGATCCTGGAGTTTTATGATGAGGACACCAAGCATTCTTTTGAAGGTGATCCCATCTATGATGAGCCTGTTGATGAAGAGGACCTGGAAGTGATCTATAGTGATCATGGGGACTTACCACCATTCTTTTATGTAGCCTATATATTAGCTGCATTATGTGTAATCATTACATCAAGTCTATGTACCATCCTGAAGAGCGTAATATCAAATGAATCTTTAGGCTTATGATGCACCCTATAAACCTATATATAATTTAAGCCTGTGATCCATTTTCGTTATGAGATTATATTCCCATAGAGGATACCGACTAAGATAGTCGCATCAAAATGGTATACTTGATTGATAATTATCAGAAAAATATTATGCCAATATGAAATGTTACCTTGTCAAATTTCTTGGGACCATGAATTAGGGTTCGTGGTGCCTTGGAACAGACTTGTTTTATCTTAGGGAAGCTTATGTGGTCAATATGAAAATGATGGAGATCAGTGAGTGAATATGAACTTCTAATAATCATCAGTGACGTACTCCTACCATGCTGGTAGATTCACTTCATGGTGACCTACTTCAGTGATGTCTACAGACTATTTATCTTTGGAGGTGTAAGACAGGTCTGTATAATGGAGTACTACACTGGTTACTTGGATAACTCTTTGCATAAGAGACCGTAATCTTTCTTGATATTGGTGATGACATGGTCAATGCATAATTGTGTAGCTTCCATGAAAGATGTCCTCATCAATTATTGGCAGATTTCTTTGAAGAGATAGTTAACAATAATATGACACTCAGAGAATCAACTATGCTTGCCATAGGGACAATGACCTCGTGATCTCCATATTTGATTGGGTTTAGGAATTTGGTTCACATCTACTTTTTATTGTATACTTAACCAGACCGTATTTCTTCCTGTAACTTCAAGGTAAATCCTCGCTTCCTGTATCACTGGCATCATCAACCCGCTTTCACCATGCATGGGTTGTCTTCTTAGTACTAGGATATTTGTTGATATCTGGAGGTCCAGGAGTTTCAAGCGGTCCTGGCATGAAATGTAAGGAAATTGAAAACATTATGCAGTATGATATAATGGAAGTAGTCTGTTCTCTTTAACCCTACTGTATCTTTCAATAAAACTGTATATGTTTTTTTGAAGAAAGTTTGTCGTCTCTTGAGTTTTACAGTTTCGCTTATTAACCTAGATAGTAATGTCTTATTTTTGAAATGTTTACGTCATATATGCTTATTTAGGCAGTTAGACAACACAAATTCACCAATAGTCATCATTATTGCTATAATGGAGCATGTGGTTTACTTTGTTGACACTTGACAGGTTCTTATTATTTCTTAAATTTATTGTTCCATTATATTAATTTGAGTAAAGAGAGAGAGAGCCTTCTTGTCGAAGAATCCTGTGGTGTTTTGATTTCAGTAGATCATGACTGTCTTTGTTGTGAAACATTCAGACAAAGAAAGACAGGACACCAGAGTACAGAATGGAGAGAATACCCTTTTTAGAAGAGCAGATACGGAGCATAAGGCAGTCAGGGAGACTGATGGCTTTGGATATAGAGAAGCTGATGTTGAGGGAGGACAACAGGTTTGATTTTGTGAATGAGGTGGCCGAGGAGGCCAAGGCATATGTGGAGAATGACCTCGATGAGTATGGCCACAAGAAAGCTATTCTTCATGTTCTCAGCAACCGCATGAATGATGCTGGTTTTTATCGGCCAGAGGCCTATATGGAAGAAGATCCCTTTAAGCCTGGACCAACGTACCTCAAAGAAGACAATATGTAACAGGTACCCACATAAACTCTCATGATTTTGGCTAATCAACCAATGACTTGAGTCTGATTTTAGAGAGAGAGAGAGAGAGAGAGAGAGAGAGAGGAAGGGGGAGGGGGGAGGTGGGAGATTTGGTCAAGCTAAGGTGCGACTGGTCGAGAGACTAGAACTGATGACCTTATCTCACATTAGCTGTTTTTGTCAAATTATTGCTATGATAGGCTTGCTATTATCGTCTCCTCAATGAGTGAACGAATTTTGTAATGCTGTTTATCAGTGACGTGCTCTTTCTGTAACTCAATGGACAGGGTCCATGTTAATGTGTTGTGTTTGTTTCGTTAACATGTAAGGAAGTTTGTTTTGCAGTTTTGCTAGCAATTGGAGGCGAGTACATTGTTTTGAGTCCATACACTGTGATGCAGGCAGTACATTGTGCGTGTGCTGCATTGCATCACAATAAACTTTCCCTGATTTCTTGTAGTAATTTGGGATCTGATTGACCGTGTCTGGTTTGATCTCATCAGGATGCTTTCCAATATTTCATCTGTATGCTGTCCCTTATTATCAGATGTTTAGATGAGTGTTTATTTTTCAATCTTTGGGTATCTTGTTCTTCTAAGTTTAATACACAAATGCGGTAATATCACAATTCCATGAAATCTCTCTCTCTCTCTCTCTCTCTCTCTCTCTCATGGCAGACACAGTGCCCACAATCTTTGTTAGATAAAACCAAGGGAAAAATAATATGGTCCATATAGACGCAGTAAGTGTTCATATTATGCCGTCATTCTATGGTTGGAGGTGGTCATACCATCCAATAAACCCACCATGAAAGTGTATCTCATGTCCTCATCCCACTCTGCATCACTGTCCAACCCATTGATCAGAAACACTATCTCATTCTGATCCCTCCTCTTAACATAATCTAACCCATCAATTCGATGGTGATCAATCCCGTGATCACTTATCCCGTGTGGCCATAAGTGATACATTAAATTTTCCAAAATCACTTGCATTTGCAGTATATGATGGTTGCCCTACTGACATAGAATAGAGATCCATAAGTTGGATCATCCTGCCTATTACTCTGTCAATAATGAGAAAAATTAGAGGCCTAGCAAGTAGTATCATTCGTAGCAGTGATGTGAGCTAGCGTAGAACCACTTTTTTAAGGAAGAGAATGTGCAAGTGGTTATCGCATGGCATACTCAAGAACTCTCATGGTGGCTAATGAAACCAGTAACTTGAACCACCAATTTAGAGAGAGAGAGAGAGAGAGAGGATTCCATCATGCATAGGAGTGACTGGTTAGAGCCGGAATTGAGGACCCTCTTTCGTTTATTCTGACTGCTGTATCCTGAATGAGCAAAGAGAAATTTTGTAACGCTGATCATCAGTGGATGCTCCATCCATTGCTGCATGGACAGCGTTGCTGTGCATGTTCTCAATTTGTTTCCTCATCCGTGAAATGTTACTTATGCAAGAAAGATAGGTTTATTTTGCAGTTTTCTGTTGTCCTTGAAGACCGTGAAGGCTTGCCACGGTAATATTTTTTGTTTTAAAGACTAAACCAGGGGTTGACCTGGTCACCCAACAAACTGAGTGGGTTCAGCCGGTTCCACTTAGGTTTGCTGGTTCTCCGAGGTTTTTCGTATTGAAAAAGAAAACTAAAAGGCTAGTGGGAACCATGTGAACCCAGGGGTTCTTCAGATTCGAATCACCCACCCACTGGTTCTGATTTACGTTGGGCAATACTGAGCTCCAGTTTTTAAAATACTGGAAGCAGGTAGCATGTTGTCCGCATGCTACATGGCATCGCACTTACTTCCCTTTTTTTTTTCTTTTTTCTTGAGAATTCTTTTTGAATGTGAACTGTTGTATTGCTAAAAAGACAAGGTACATCGGTTACAGGTAAAGAAAAGAACCCGGGCTCCAAAGTACAAAAACCCCGAGGGGTGCAAAAAATGGTGTCAATCCCTAAAGGGATTCAAAAAATGCTATACACTTGAAGCTTTGAGCTCACAAGTACAAAAACAGAGTGGCAATCTCTAAGGTGGCAAAAAGTTCCCCTAGGATGCACCCGACTGTGAGGCATTCTCCCTGGCAAGGGAGTCAGCAACCGCATTTGCCTCCCTCTAGATGCGTCTCCAGGAAACAGTAAGATCCCAGGATATGTGGAAGGTTTCATCGAAAATGTGCTCCAATCTTCACGGGCAGGGTGGGGCTTTAGAGGCTGAGGGAATGACATTCCTAGAACCACCCTTAATCACTAGGTTGGAGTTCTACATGGGGTTAAAATTTCTGAGGCCTTCAAGTAGGGCTTGTGCCTCTGCCATGTTAGAGCCGGCATGGCCAATAGAACGTCAAAAGGAGAGGAGAATGGTGTCAGATGGATCACGGTAAAGGCCACCTATTACCACGAGGCCCGAATGAGGAACCATCAAAATTGAGCTTGATTTGGCCTTATTTTGATAGCCTCCATCGAGGAATATAGTGGGGTTTGGGTATAGAAGGGCAGTCAGATCTTGGTAGAAATCCAAGAGGGAGCAGTGTGAAAAAAAATTGTTGTTTTTCGACCAAGCAATGATGGACATGGATTTGTCAATTAGTGTTTCGATCAAGGACTTATTGCCTCAAAAGATCCTGGAGATCCTTTCCATCCACAAAACCCAATGCAGCTCTCCAGAGGAGTACTCTTAATTTGTGTCACTGTAAATGGAATGTACCAACGGCATGGAGTATGGATTGGGGTGTAACCCAAGAGCGGTTGAATAATTTTAGGAAATGGCCCGAGAGTGAAGAGGCGCTCTCACAGTGCAAAAATAGATGCGCATTGGACTCTTCTGCTGAGGAGCACGACACATCATTGGCAACCTGTAGGCCTCTTCTTTGTAGTTGGTCAATTGTAAGGGCCCTTTTGGATCTCAGTGCCAAATAGATGCGCATTGGACTCTTCTGCTGAGGAGCACATGACACATGGATTAGCGACCTGTTGTTTTTTTTTTTTTTAGTTGGTCAATTGTGAGGGCCCTTCTGTAGTTAGTTCCTCTTTTTTCACTAAGTAGTTTGGGATGTACTTGATAGTATCTGGTTTAATCTTAGTAAGGGTAATCATAATCGTGCCCTTCAAATAAACATAGCATCTGTATAATGTAATCCTCAGGAAGGCATGGTACAAGGGGCCAGAAGTACCATCGCCATCTAATCCATGAGTTGGATGGTGGAGCAAGTCAAAACCAGTGTGTTGCTCATGTCGTATTCAGAGAATCAAAGAAAATGTTCAACAAGAAAGATCGCATCAAAGCAATTGAGCCCAAACCTAATATTATTTGTCCAAAGTGCCACGCCAAGTATTTTGATTGCAACAAAATAATTAAATGGAACAACAGGGGAAAAAATATAAGTATTACATGAAATTAGATGATAAAATCAAACAAGCTGGGAGCTACAAATTTCCTCACGTGGCCTTTACACAAGCTATATTACACAAGAGAGAGAGAGAGAGAGAGTAAGAGAGAGAGAGAGAGAGAGCTTCAAAGCCCCCAAGGCAAACCATGCACTGGGGTTGTTAACTTCTAAAGCCCAAGGCCGACCACCTCCTTGTAACGTCTTTCTTCATCCTTTGGGAGCCGGTATCGAGTAAAGTTTCCAGTGATTTGGCCTTTCTATTCCTTGCTCTTCCTGCCGTTTTCAAGAGCTCAGCCAACCTTTTCTTCTCGTCATCAACATCAGGATTAGCCGTTCCGAGCTTCTCTTCCCTCACCCCGAGTACATACTCTAACATCTCAATGGCGTCATCTACCCTGTCATTCCAATCAACAGCGAATTACTTCAAATTTTCCCAGCATTCTTCAGCTTATGTACATAATTTGCAATCAAGAAGTTAAAGAATGGGCTCAAGGCATAGGTGGTGGGAAAGTGATGTCTTGAGTCAAGTCCTACCAGGTTTAACATTAAAGGAGAAACAAAAAACAAAAACACTAAAAAGTTACAAAAGAACGAAAACCTCTCTCATTTTTCCATGACCAGCTGGTTCAGCTGGTGTATTTGAAACAAGTAGAATTAAAATTGAAAAAAGGGCAATGGAAAGAACCGATGCATTTCAGCCATTTCAACTGTTCAACCAGTTGAACAAATTGACTAGATTTCAGATAGGAGCCCCCAACAACTAGGAAGAAAGGTTCAACGATTCAATGAACAGGCTGAACCAGCCAAAATGCCCAACACACTATTAGAGGCCACTTGAATCAGTTCAATACACATAAGCTGTTTCTTTTTTTCTGAACTTTTTATCTCCAATACCTAGTTGTAGGGATTGGAAGCAATATCTGGATTGGGTTCGGGGGATCGTTAAAGCCTACAAGATTGCTACGGTAGGAGTGCTGTTTGTGCAACAAGTATGTTATTGGGAATCTCAATCCCGACCTTTTAAGATCTCAACTCTTAAGCTCTTAAGGATCTGGCTCCCAACCTTAAAGAGTACATATGCTCCCGGACTATATATACTTTTTAAAGCAAGGATCTCTGTATTTATAGCCACCAAACAATACAATATTAAAAGTATGGTTGTGTGGCTAACTGGCCATAAATAATTAGTCGTTATCTTGAAATTTAAGGTGGGGATCGAGATCTCTAACAAAGCGGAATGAGATCCCAAAATTTAAAAATAAAAAACCCTTGAGGATTCTTTTCCCAGTATGCAGGAATGAGATTCCAAAGCTATCTACGTTGGGAGATCCCAGCAACTATCCTCCAACAAAATAGAGGCAGACATAATGGATATTCAGAAAGCTAGTTTCCATAAGTCCGTAAGAACATGTCCAGCAACTCCAGCAACTACTAAGGATGCCAAAGATTCGGCATATAGATGATATATCTAACTTAAAGCAGATGTGTATGTTCAGAATTATCAATTATGTAATTCCAACATGAGAAACAGCCTAGAACAAAATGAAAATAAAATAGGTATGTACCCAGAATTATGTGAGGTCATTGGCTACTGAAGTATGATCAGTGCTTTGACTTGTTGAAGTCAGACAGAGCCCCTACCGTACTTGTTCCCAATAACATACTTGTTGCACAAACAGCACTCCCCCGCTGAAATTCGTTACCTCTTCCTCTTCTTGAAGTGCTTTGACTTTGCAACAGGCTTCAAAGTCAATTTTGAGAAACAAAACTGATGGGAGTAAATGTAGACCCTACTACTCACTCTCTCAAACTTTGCAAACACTTGGGGATGTGGGGTCGAAGCCTTGCCCTCCAAATACCTAGGGCTTCCTCTCTGCATTGGCAAACCCAATCATAGACTTTGGTCCCATATTTTAGACAAAGTCGATCGCAGACTTGCCGGATGGAAAGGCTTCCTCTCCCCGGAAGGAAGGCTGACCCTTATAAAAGTAACCCTTGCAAACATTCCAGTTTATCAGATGTCCATCTTCCACATGCCAATAGCTGTCGGTTCTAGAATGTAACAGCTGATGAGAAGGTTCTTTTGGTCTGGAGATGATTCCACCAACAAATTCCATCTGATAGCTTGGGATAAAGTCTGCCAGGCCAAAACAAGGGGTGGCTTAGGAATCAAAAACCTTCAAACCAAAACAAAGCACTCCTGGGCAAATGGTGTTGGCGTCTCTCGACTCTAAGCAACCAACTATGGATCGACATCCTCAAACATAAATACCACCTACAACTCTCCATGATTACCTAACTGCAGGGCTAACCAGAGGTCCTCTGGCATCTGGAGGTCAATTTGCTCAGTCTTCCATGCCTTCAAATCTCGCATAAGATTCCATCCAAGGTCGGGTAACCGCATCCTTTTCTGGCTAGACCCTGGTTGGGGCACACCCCTCTAAAGGACAAATTTCCTGACCTCTTCTCCCTAGCTAGAGACCAAGGGGCCACTGTGGCAGAGGAAATGCTCCCAGCAGGTTCCCTCCGCTCTTGGAACCCACATTTCAGAAGGGCTCTAACTGATCAGGAAACCACAAACTTTGCCACCCTGGCTGCCGAACTTCAAGCTTGCTTCCTGGCCCCTTCGGGGTCAGATCGAATCATTTGGACTCCGGCTCCTTTGGGGGAATTCACAGTCTCCTCCTTTTTCCGACGTCTATCTCTCCCTCCTACCTTACCTCTTGCTCCTGCTGCAAAAGATGTCCAGCTGCCCGGGCTTGGACATCTTTTGCCCCAACTAAAATCAAGATTTTTTCATGACTAGACCTTTCGCAGAGAGTCTTGACGGTAGATCAGTTACAAAGAAGAGGTATCCCAATTCCTAATCGGTGCATGATGTGTCTCTCGGCTGAAGAGACTAATAACCATCTCCTGCTGCACTGTCAATATGGTCACAACCTTAGGGGAGCAATTCTAAGACTATTCAATGTACAGTGGGTGTTACCAGCAGAGGTGGCATCCATTCTTTCTTCGGTACAACCTTTCCCCTGGAATAAAGAGGGAATCCTCCTTTGGAAATCAATGGTGGCTGCTGCTTTGTGGGCACTTTGGATCGAGCGTAATAACAGAATCTTCCAAGGGGATTTCTCACCTTGGCCCAAGGTGTTCAACAAGTTTAAGTCAACCATTATCTTTTGGGCCACCAACCACCATTACTTCGAAGGAGTCTCCTCTTCGGCTTTCAGGGATTGGAGCTCAGTCCTTCAATTCCATCGCACACGCCTGCCGCGTGCCTCAAGATGGAAACCTCCACCCCAGGGACAGCTCAAACTTAACTTCGCCGGCTGCTCTCTAGGTAATTCCGGCCCCTCAGGAATAGGAGCAATCCTCAGAGACCACCTCGATTCCACTGTGGCAACTACTTCCAAACACATTGGCCATGCAAACTCTATGGAGGCTGAAGTGACGGCACTCTTGGAAGGCCTCAAACTTGCAATCCCACTACAACTGCACTACCTCATCATCGAAAGAGACTCCAAGAATACTATTTCTTGGGCGCAGAATCTCCCCTCCTCCTCTTCTCCTTGGCAGTTAGCACACTTGTTTGACGAGATTGAATTCCTTTGCAGGAATATGTCCGTCGTGTGGATGCATCCTTGGAGGGAAGGAAACCAAGAAGCTAACATCTTAGCCAAAGAAGCAGCAGCGATGGCGATCGATTACCACTTGTTTTGGAGTTTTGGTTTATAGTTTTTGGGTTTTTGTCTGATCGACCTGTTTTTCTAGGTTGTTGTGACTCACTATAACCTCTTAAAAAAGGATTTTGATTCCGTTTGTTCACTCTATCCTTGAGCATCCTTCTTTTGTGGAAGGCTAAGGTCTTGCACTTATCTCCTCTTCAATTAAAGGTTAACACATTAAAAAAAAAAAAACAATACGGCCCAAGGTTATAACCTTCTCATAAATGAGTTGGCAGTTATGATGTGAGAGTAGTCCGTACAATTTGAACCAAAGACATGTTTGGTGAGACCCACTCTTTATATATCACTATCATGCTATGCCACAAGTCATATGGTCACAGTAAAGTTTGCCTTTTAACAGAGCATCTTAGGCAAGGTTTCAAAAAACGCTAGGCGGCCTGCCTGGCGCCTAGCGCCTAAGCGGGCGCCCAGAACCTCGGGCAGCCCGTAATTTAAAAAAAAACAAAAAACGCCTACCCCGCCTGAGCGCCCGCCCTAGTACATCCGCCCGTGTAGGGCCGCCTGGCTAGGCGGGCGGATTTTTGGTCCAGGTCGCCTAGGCGCTAGGCGAACCATTTTTTAAAACATTGATCTTAGGATGCATATGAATGGGAAGAAACCATAAGTCTGATCCTCTTGTGTCACTGGCTTTCAAGTTATGCTAATGTTTCTAACTGTGGACCACAAGAAATCAAGGCATCTCTTCGCACAAATTACTACAATGCTCCACTAACTTGCAATTAAAAATATGTTAATATACACTTTTTTCTATTTTTTGGTAAGATCATTTGAAATGGGGCACATAAGTGCAGTTACTCTCAGTATAAGTTATCCACTATTAAGTTCTAAATATTAGGCAAGAGTTCAATTGCTAACAATAAATCATCTCTCTACCATATAGAAACTGGGCCTAGGCTTGACTAGTTAAGGTGTTGACGTATGCAACACTACATCCCAAGTCTGAGTCCATTGCTGACCAAGCCAAAAAAGATAAAAACTAAAAACACCATCAAAAACCTGGTTTAAATTCTTACAGCTGAATGAGCTCCTCATCCAATATACACTGAATAACATAAAGACCAATGCCAGGGTATAAAGTGGGCAGCAAAAGAAAACAATATCAACCTAACCAGCCATTGTCGCTCGTCTTCGGTCGTTCCAAGCTCCCATTTTGTCATCATGAACCTTAAAGTAAGTTATCAACAACCTACTGTCTAATAAGTTCATATCTGGAGAAAGATGACAAGTAAAATAATGGGTTGGTCAACTCAGTTGTTCATTTTGTTGATTTGGGTTCAGATTGATATATACCAAGATTTAGAAACAGCTCCCATGATGAATGCCATGTGGGTAATTGACTAAGATATTGAACAAAAATTGGCTTCCTACAATAATTACAAGGGAATAGTTACAACAAGCTCATCATTGTGACGATACTACAAACTTGTGAAAATCAGAGAGAATCCAGCACAATTGGAAACATCCAAGAAAATCCCATCAAGTTGCACAAGGAATTTGTACGACAGGATCACCCAGTGTTTAAAAAAACGCCGAGTCGAACCGGACTCGCCCGGTTCGACTCGGGAATCGCCATGGACGGATCGAATCGGCGAAAAAAATGGGAATCGTCCGATTCTAGAGAGAACCGGACGATTCTATACAGTGACTCGCCGATTCACTGTACGGAATCGGCGAGTCCGAACAGTGAATCAGCGAGTCCAGTACGGAATTTTTTTTTTTTTTTTTTTTGAATCCATGATAGATGTTTTTGTAATACTTGATCGATTTTTTTGTAATCCATGATCGAATTGCTTTTTTTTTTTGTAATCCATCATCGAATTTTTTG